TGAATCAAGTTTCTAAAGGTGTTACTGACTTCATACTATATGGCTGGGAGTGAATCAAGTTTCTAAAGGTGTTACTGACTTCATACTATATGTCTGGGAGTGAATATAGATGCTTCACATTTCTCCACATTACTTATTAGGAGGGTTCGTTTTGTTCTGAATGTGGCAAAGATAGTCGTTGTCTTTTCACTACTCTGTTTCCCTAAGCTGCCGAAATACGCACCACGTAACACGCAGATTTAAATGGGAATGACATTAACCCAACTGCATATTACCTTACCTCTTAATTATCAGCCAGAGAAATAAGAGGAACAACCCAAGCAACTGAAGGTCCTCGCTCACAACCAACCGTGACAAAGTTCGTGATACTGAAAGATAGAATAAATAAATGAAAAATATTAAAATGTAAAATATTGTGCCAACCCCTTTCCTTTCTCCCTTAGTGACTTCCACTACCAAGATGCTTCACGAACTTTTCTTTCTTATTCAAATTTGTATTTAATAGTAAGACAATAGACCGATCMCCAAACGATGGGTAGTTTTCCCAATGGAATACAGAATGTCTGAACAACAAACTCAAATTCCTAATATATCTTTTAGTAGTTATCTATTTTTTCTTAATGTRMCTTTAGAATTCATTGCGATTTTTAGACAGACATTTACAATTTTCAGAAATCGGTGTCTGATCATGCTGTATATCAAAATACATTTATGCTTGTCCGATGTAGCAACAGTAACTAGGGAGGTGGAAAAACTTTACTGAAACTGTGCAAGGGATTCTGGTAGTGAAAGTAAAATGTCCTATTAGGCTCAGGGTTTGACGTCAAAGGTGTTTTTAAAAATAAAAAAATACTTATCCCTTCACCTGTTCTATAAAACACTTACAGAAACGATTTACGGTATCCATCTTCTATAAAACATCTTACGATCGATCAACAGAGTGCTCAGAAATGTGGCTGCAATGATGGTCTTTCTTGTAAAGTCACTCGTGAGCTGACCATCGCTGGAAATCTCATCCAAATCAAACGATGCATGCCTGCAAATCAAAGTTGAGAAACTGACCAATCAGGATGTCCAGGAGACCCTGGAGGGAGATTCTACCCTGGCAAGGTAAATGATAGTAGAATATACCAAGGATATACTATTTATCGTGTGTGGGTGGGGTTAGAAGATGGTGGGAGCAGTTATACATTGACAAAGGGAGAGCACCAGCACCAGTAAGGAGCGTTCACTGAGAGAAACTAGTAGATGTACGATTCCCTTATATATCAAGTACCACATGTATATGGTTCTCTGCAAGAACCTCATGAGACATATAAGCATGATACCACTGATAGTCCAGTCATATGAACAAACACCTATCAACAGCTCAATCCTATTGGTCATTGGTGCATTAACGAATACCAAGCGCTAAGTTAAAAACAAGCAATATAAAGCCTGAAAAAAGCTCGTGTATGCCTCATGCTTCATGTATATAGTTCCCTCCAAGTACCACACAAGACACAAGAAGGCAACGCAGATGGACAAAAGAAAACTTTGGAGTCTTCGATGTACCGTTCCCTTGTAGGGAATGTGCCACATGTATATGGTTCGCCCTGCAAGAACCGCACGAGACATATAAGCATGATACCGCTGATAGTCCAGTCATATAAGCAAACACCTATCAACAGCTCAATCCTATTGGTCAGCGCATAGTTAATATTAACTATGGTCAGCAGTGCATTAACAAATACCAAGCGCTTAGACATATAAATTAGGCAATAAAAAGCCTGAAAAAAATTCGAAAAAACTGACCATATTTGCTAATTTATTTCGTTTGTATTAACGACATTAATTAAGATCATTTGCAGACTAAGGGTGTAATATTGTATGGATGAATATTTCGCCTCCTTCTTTTAAAAGAGCTGGAGCAAAACAATGAATAAGGAAGTCTTTATTGGCACTCTATGGTGATAGCCACCGCTCTAAAAACTGCTTCTGCTACAGACCGTCTAAAAAGTGTCAAAATTGCAAATCAAGTTCACGAAACGTTGGTCAATCATATGCTTCAATGACCAATGTTGGTGATCGCAACTTTTTAACATACGAAAGTGACTAAATAAATTGATTCTTGTCAACATTGATGAAAAAATATATATAATAAGACCAATAAATTATAATATGAATGTATYATGAGTCTCATCAACTTTATGTTGTCGGTGACGATCGAGAAGCCTCAAATGGAGCTACAGTTAGTTGAAAGGATAAAATAAACATCTCGGATAAAGTACCGAAACGACTTTGATACACAAAGTTAAGGATACTTCAGCTTGCTTAGTAAGTGTTTTTATAACTTTTGATACTCTTATAAACTAATAAAATCCTTTTTTATAAAGTTGTACATTTTCTTCAAGAAACAGACATTTATAACGGATACAATCAATATTAAAATTGATTGAACTCATTTAGATGAGCTTGATATTTTTAGCTTGCTAATGACTTTCAATGCGGAAATTTTCAAGAGTGCAAACTCGAGCCCTTTCCAGATTGCTAATCAGTATTCGTGAAAATATCACGCACACTGAATTTGTTCACAAAAAGGAAAGTCAGATTTGTTGTTTTATTTGGACGTCCACTTAAGAGTTAAATCAGAGATAACCTGGAACAGAGTTTGTAGTACATTTGGTCCAACATTTGGTTCGCAATCCTGCTAATTTTCTCAGTCATGAAGCTTTCATCTTTTGTTATACTTGCATTATGCTGTAGTTTAACTTTTGGACAAAACTATAGTATCATCCGTCGGGTCACGAATACTAATGGCTATTATCAACCAGACTTTGTTCAGATCCCATCATCTTCGTGTCATAACAATGATGGCACTAAAGAATGTGCAATTATGGATGGGAAAAGGTATTCAGTGTGCCAATGTGCTTGTGAAAAAACCAATAGTGATCATCGTTTTTACAAAAGTACTTTTGGATTCTACRATGGTAATTGGAGATGTGAGAAGAACAGTGCACTTCGTCGACGTTCAGGTAAGAATTCTTATGAGGATAACAAGCTATATATATAGCATATAAAATAGAACAGGAGAGAAATACCAGAAAGGAATGGAATACATAGAATGAAATACATAGAGGATATTACATGGGCGCGCGGAGATACGAAATTTATCTTCGAGTGTTGAAAAGATCTCTCACGAGTGAGCGTAGCCCATGTAATATTCTGTTTATTATATAATTATCAATGAAGTATGTTTTGGCTTTTTCAGGCATATATCGCAATGGTGTTATTTTCACACGTGAAAATAACATGTTATTTTCACGTGTGAAGATATCAATTTTTCGAAATAGAGAAAAATAGATATTTCATTGGTAATTATATAATAAAATAATTTATTTCAGTGAAAACCAACATATGATAGAGGTTCATAGTAGAATGTAGCATTTGCTTACCGATGATTTAAGATAATATTGCTCATCAATCACCGTTAGTAGAATTCCTTTTTATTTTAAATTAGGATGCCAATTATCACTTGATCAGAAGGGAATAAATGATCCCATCCTAACTGTACCAACGACGATTACTGATGGTATTTACTTCATATCGAATGTTACTACGAAGAAATACACATCGATCCCAGAAGAAGCAACGTGTTCTCTGAAAAATGGAAAGTCGATGTACTTAACATGTTCTGGGATGTGGAACGACCTGAACACTGCATTAGTAACCAAGAGATTCAATTTACATTTCATTTATAATGATTGGCCAGATATAAACGTCGGGGTTGAGGTAAGCTTGTCGTATATGTTTTATGGCAGCGTGATGCATGGCCTAAAATCCAATAACTGGTTGTTTTATATACTAATCAAAGAATTTTTGATGTTATCTATGATGTCATAATAAAGAAAATGATCCTTGTTTCAGGTTAATTACACAGAAGGTTCTTCTTACCCTCTGCCTAGTGGTCGTATTATCAAACTAGCGGTCACCTGTTCAGATCGACCATGGGAACCATCTCATTGTATCCTTTTGAAAATACAAGGACAACTTCAATGTAAGTCGTTTGCAATTTTGAAAACTGAAACAGCGATTACGCTTTCATTTATTTATATTTTATTTTCTTCTATGGACAATACAGGTTCTGTGTCTCCGCTTCTTTCTACCACCCCACCGGCTCAACCACCAGTGCCGATTCACCCTACTTCTGTCCCGTCAATGACATCTCAATCTCCAACAACATCCTCTTCTCGGGTAATTTTTGTCATTCATTTGGAATTACTGAGTTACAATACTTCTTAACGTATCATATCTTCCGGAAAATGCTTAATACGTTTTTGAAATGCTCTGGTTTTTACATATGCTTTTTTAAAAACCTTTTAACTTTATTACTAGAAACCTGGAGGGAACATCAGGGCGCCTAAAAAGGACTCCAGTATCCTTATTACTAATGGATCAATAATAGGAATCTCACTGGGCGGAGTTGCATTATTAGCTGCATTAATAATACTCATATTCTTCATAATCAGGCTCAGGAAAAGAAGGTAATAAAACTAATACGCGGTTGACTTCAATTGTAAATTGTTTGACTTCAACTACTTCCATCACGCTTGCTTGCGCACAAGAGTGTCATGATTTTTAAATTTTCTTAATTAATTTTTTAAAATTGAATTTTATAGCAGATACATCGACAATGACAGAAAAGCCAGTACATGCGAGTGTAAGTAACATAACCACAAAACTTATCACAATCACACCGAAGAATAATCAATAAAGCACAAGCCATCAATATCGTTTGCCATTTTRAACTTCATTCGCTTCTATGCTGTTCTTTAGCTGCCTTAGGACCACACTGTATACTCTCTGTTATTATAAAGATTTTAATAACTTATAATGATAATTAATGTGATCATTGTATTATCATAACATGGAACAATTACTGATATGACCATGTTGCGTGTAGAATGTTAGAGCTTTGCAAAGAATTTGACCATGCATCAGCTAAAATATGATAATATTATGAAATAACACGTATTACAAATTTCTCGATTGCTTTCCATTTTAGTGGTCTTAGAAAATAAAACGTATGAGGACAAAGCTGGTGGTGCCCAAAAGCCAACTCATCAGATGGAAGAACAAGCAGATCTGGAAGGTAGTAATAACTCTTAATAAAGTTGACTGTGCAGTCCAATATTCTTCTTCTTTATAAGGTGCATAGCGTGCCAATGGGCCAATATAATATAAAGCGAAGCGCACATCAAACTGTCCATCAAAAACCGCTCATGTATGTAATTTTTGCTCTCCACTAATTTAATAGCTGCTTCCAAATGCTTGTGATTGAACCATAATCTCATTTTTAACAATACTGCAGTGTCAAAGACCGCGGAATAAAGTTTTGAGTCGAGAGGATTAATCTTCGGGTCCTCGTGAACGTCCCCCTATGCCTCCTAATGAACAAATTCAAATCGTGTGTTGGATTACTAAGAAAATTACTGGACTATTAAAGGAAGCATTTGCATGATAATATTATTTTTATATAGCAAATCTCTTCCCAGACTTCTGCAATAACTTTGAGCTTAAAATCTCTATATGAATAACGAAATGTTCATTTCTTTGAAGGACAAAAGAGAACAGCAGATGAATTGACGATGCAGGAAGAACCATTGTACAGTCTTCCAGGGTCCACCATCAACAAAAACAACAGCGAAATCGAACAAGATGAACCTTTCTATTACGCACTTGAGGAACCACAACCGCACGGTACGCAAAAGTATAACGTGCACGAGGAATTACACCCAGATAAAGAGGCACCCCATGTATATGGGACCTTTAACGAACCACACAAGGAAGCCACATCTAATGACMCTCGTGGATATAGCAATACACTGTATGAGTCGGTTGGAGACAATTAGTAAGCAGTCCACCAAATAAGAAGATCAATGAGGCATTTTAGGATTAGGCATTTTATGCCTATCTTATTTTAAAGGTCTATAATCTAGTTGATCATGGTGGGAAGTTTAAAACTACCTAAAATTCAGTAGTCAGATTGACTTGATGATCTGGCTAAGTAAAACCGTGGACTAACCAACACCAGCGGCTAACCATTTTACTCATAAATCAAAAGTCCCAGAATTTTTTTAAACAGGTAAAACTTGTCGATGTGCTCCGATATTCTAAACATGCGCATTTTTTGCTTATCGTCCTAATTTGATTTTAWCAAGATTTTATTAAGTTTTGTACCATTTGAATTTTATCTAGGTGTATACTTTATAAATAAACAACAATATTAACTTATTAGTTTTTATTAGAGTGACCACAGTAAATCCGTGAAACTTTAGTAACGCTAAATAGCACAATTTGATGCAAATTCCATTGTTTTCTATTGTTTAACTAGCACTATTTTGTACTATTAAGTAATTAGTGTTTCACGGATTTACTGTGGTYACTCTAGTAAGATAAGTTAATGAATGTGCGTGTATAACATCTATATGGAAAAATATATTTGTATGAAAAACACCCATTAGTTTATAAAAAAAATTNAAAAATATGTTTACATCAGTAGGTCTAATTATCAAGAGGATACTCAGGAAGTACTTCAGATCCACGAATAACAGGTTGTTCATTTGATCTAGTGTTTATGAGAGTATATATCTAATATTCTTGCTTTACAAAGTCAAAGCAGGTTGTTTGTTTGCTTTGTCTTAACACGTGGCTGCAAATCACAGTAGACACTTGCTTTCTATTTAAATTTCCCATCTCTGACCTGTTCATCTTTTTATTTTTACTTTGGAGATCACAGAATAATGTTTATACGTCTTGGCTTTTTTATTTCGTTACACTATCTCAGACAATTGCGATTCTTTTAGCTATTCCTAATAAAAAAAAAGTTAATAAAACACATTTTTAAAACATTCAGGAACTAATTTGAGMGCGACAAGCCGTGAACAAAATATGTCATTTCTGTCGTGTGCTGTCGTATCGTGGCATCATCTAATTATAGAAATAGGTAGTCTAGCAATTAAAGTTTACTTATCACAAATAATTTGGAAGCTAATAGATAAGTGCGCAAAAAGGACTGACGTCGTCATTGTCGACTGTTGTCGTCACAGTATCGCTTAATCATGGAATTAGGTAGTCCTCCAATTAAAGCTTACTATATTGCTAAAAATAGATAGCTCGTTAAAAATTCTAAACGTTGCAAAAGATATCTTTTTTGTCGACTGCTGCCGTCAAAGCATCGGCTGATTACTATGAAAGAATGTTTCTAAAACTATATAATGATAAATTGTGCAAAAGGTGTCTTTTATGTTGATCGCTTTCGTCACAGAATCGACTAATTATGAAATTAAGTACGTAGTCTGCTAATTATAAAGTTTAATTGCTAAAAATAGATTGCTAAAAATTATAGATAAACGTTACAAAAAATATMATTTTTGTCGACTGCTGTCGTCACAGTATCGTCTAATTGCTATGTAAGAATGTGACTAAGAGCTTCGGTCTGGTTTAGATATTTTGCTATATTTTGCTAAGTAGCCGCTACTTGCAAATGGTTCAGTACGCCAATATCGTATGAGTATTAAAAGTATGCTGGATTCCCAACAGGACTCTCTTTAAACTAGTTCTGCTAAATGWGACATCCCTGTATRAATATTGTTGAAATAAATAAATAAAGCACTAACAATATCATTCATAACAGCAAGACAATTAGGAAGTTGAACAAAAATACACTGATATATTTATCTGTCATGTGCGTCAATCTCTGTCATACCGTCTCAGTCATGAGTGCGTAGTCATCCATGCATCATAGTTTCATTAAGAGCCCAAATTCTTTCCATTCTGGTACCACATTTTTAGCCTATTTTGGCTGAAWAACTTTTCTAGAACAGGATCTTGTTTTTAACCGATCTATTTGAATTTGTGAAGATAGAACCCTCCTTTAGAATTACCTCGGCTGAACTCCACTTCAAATGCGGAACATTGGATGTCTAGGCAAGACAGGAAAATAGAGTGTGTATACGTATTCGTATTAACTCGTAAAGCTATCAAGTACTGGGGTGAAYTCTGACACTAAACAACAACTCCTTTGATTGGAAGAACCTATGTTGGAACCTTAGTAAGAGAGAACTAGGCTAAAAACTGTTACTTTTGATCAGATACCGTGAAGCATCGCTATAWTTTGGATCATAATCTTGCAATGATGAAGCAAATATCATTGCTGTTTATTGTGTTGTTATTTGATGTAGCTTTTGCGCAGAAATATATCATCACTCGTCGAGTCAAAACTTCTAGCCTTGAGATTCAACCAGACGTGGTTCAGATCCCATCAGGTTTGTGTCATAATAATGGAACCAAAGAATGCCCATTGACGAACGGAGAATTCAGTGGTTCGGCGTGCCAGTGTATTTGTAGCGAGGAAGACAGCGATTCTCGTTTATACAAAACTTCGTTTCTGTTTCATAACGAAACATGGAAATGTGCGCAAAATGTCGCACTTCAAAAGCTTTCAGGTAAGTGACTACATTGTGTGTTATTGTTCTGTTTCATTTAAAAAAATACTTTTTTCACTTTGATAATCAAGTTTACTTATTAACAAGGTTTAAATAATACTGTAAAATTGATAACTATTTGGTAATTACCAATTTTATTGATATGATTCAAAGATGTTTTTTAACTCTAGGATGCTCATTCTCGCTTGATGGAGCAGGCAAAAGGGATTCTGTGCCGACTTTAGCATCAAATGTTACTGTTTCTCACAGTTTGTCAAACGTTACAACTGGCCAATATATACAACTACCTGTGGGGACGACATGTGCAGTAAGGCCTCAAAACTCCGCATACTTAAAATGTAACGGTSAATGGGAGCAACTGAATAGTACTTTAGTAACCAAAAGATTTCAAATCAGCTATGGACAACCATYTAATGGCAAATATTTTGGATATGTCTGGGTAAGCTAAAATAATGCTGTCAGTGAATTACAACTTTGATAAAATACTAAAATGATGAAACTGGTGACTGCGAATGAATACACTCTTATTGATTATGAAATTTGATTGGTGGAAGAAATAATTTGTAGTGCATGTTGCTCCAAGCAACTGATTGTATTTATACAACAGCAAAAGGGGTGATTTTTTACTTTTTCCAGCCAAACCATTCAGGCTATATTCAGGCATTTGATTATTATAATATTAAGTAATTTGCTGAATTTGAGGCTGTTTTTCTTAGGTGAACTCCACAGAAAATTCAGCTTACCCTCTTCCAAGTGGTCGGATTATTAGACTAGGAATTAACTGTTCAGATCGATCATGGGAATCATCTCAGTGTATCGTGGCGAAAATACAGGGACAACTTGAATGTAAGTCGAGAAGAAAGAAAGTATTTGTGATATTACATATAACACGAGGGATAATAATTGTTTTATAAAACGCAAGAGAAGAAATATACATCTTATTCAGCATTTTTATCTAAGTGAGTTGGCAAATGAGTGAGAGAATAACGATGACAAAATCAACCTCTTGTGGAACAACTCTGTTTCCGCATTTTGAAGCGAGAAATTTAAAGAGCAGTTATAATTGCTGATTCTTCTTTTTGTTATATTCTCCTCTCAGGCCCCGCGCTATTGTTTCCTGTTCTTTCAACAACTACACCACAACCATCAACACCATCGCTTTTTACTGCTCCATCATCTACTGCTCCTTCGTCCATGCTGTCTGTTTCACCTACAACGTCACCATCGATAAGCCAAACGTCTTTTCCAGTTTCATCGTCTACAGTATTGTCAACTTCACCATTATCGCACAAACYAAACACGGTAACTTTCTCAGGCCCCGTGCMATCATTTCCTGTTCCTTCAACAACTACACCACAACCATCCACCACATCATCAACTGTGCCCAGTTCTGCAACGCCCCCGCTTTTTACTGCTCAACCATCTAATGCTCCTCCGTCCATGCTGTCTGTTTCACCTGAAACACCATCATCGATAAGCCAAACGTCTTCTGCAGTTCCGGCATCGTCTACAGTATTGCCAACTTCCCTTCCATCGCCAAAACCAAACACGGTAACTATTACTTTATTTTTCACACTCCTTTAAGACAATTATTAAACMTGTAGTTTAACCAAGATTAAAGCAGATTTTAAAAAATTAATTTTTTGCTCTTGTGTGCTTATTTTATTAGACCACTGCACCCAAAATAAATATGAATGGTGACAACTCCGGGAAGATATTCTCTGGTGCTTTAATTGGTGCCGTACTAGGAGGATTTGCAGCTTTGGTGGCATTAGTTATAATCATAGTGTTAATAGCCAGAGGAAGAAAGAAAAGGTAAACAGTATGGCGCTGTTACACGAAACAATTTTAACTGAAACTACTGTGTTACACGGAAAAAACTCTCGCTACAAAAGAGACCCGCCAAAATTTGTTGCCAGCAAGAAAGTAGAAGAGGGTGTTACTTTTCCTAAAACCGTAGTCCCAATCAGCCATTAATGATTAGTGCAGTAATTTCATAATAATGTCAGCTTTCATTTAATTTCTAGGTCTGATGATCTAAGAAAGAACAGCAGTGCTGCTAGTAAGTCGGTGAACAAATTAGTCCCCCTCTCTATTATAAATATGAATACATTTATACATAGAAATACTTATGCATACTTAGTATAGTCCCACTCATAAAAGACTAAAAAATTTGAAGTCTTTTATTTTGTTAATATGACAAATGTTTACTGTAATCTATTCTACTTCCTTCCCCTT